TGCTTGGCTAATTTTCCATTACATTCTCCAGGTGGCACTTTCTAATTATTTACAGCCTCTATAAGACCTTAACCTTCTGCCTTCTGCCATCTGTTTAGTCTACATGTTGTGTCCTATATCACAGAAGATATTCAGACCTCCCAGACCCAGCCACTGAGATTTCCTCCACCTCCACCCCCTCTGATGTTCACTGTCATTTTTTTTTCTACCTCTTGCACACAGGAAACTGTGTCTGCTTCCCTGCAAAGATAATCCTCTACCATACTTTCTTGCCTCGTACTGTCTAAACTTCTCAAAAACCTTCATTTAACAATGGAGCATTCTCTTGTCTATGTGCCTTTTTTTTTTTTAAGGAAACCCTCTCTTTGGCACCTTCACTCCTGCTGTATGAATAAGAAATCTGTTAAAAGAAAATGAAATTAAAAATAAAAATAAAACTTTATCTAGTCTGCTCTCCTTTCATTGCTCTGCTGTATTTCTCCAAAAAGAGAGAGAGAGAGATTATACTGCCTCACCCACTTACCTGAGCTTTAATTTCTCACCCACAGCTTCATGTCTTTTAATATGGCTTTGACCAACATGTCTTAAAGTCATTTATTTAGCTTAGTAAAGTGAATTCAAATAACGAATGCCAAACTCTGAAGTATGATAATTAGATCTGAATAAAGAAAAACATCCAAATTAAACCATTACAAACATAGCAGTATCCATAATCACTGTGCTTAAAGATTATTTAGTTAGAGAGAAGTACAGAGAAAAAATGTAGGTAAGGAAGTGAGGGGATATACCAGAAAGATTTGCCAAAAAGAGAAACGGAAATGTGGTATGGAACATGGGAAGCGAGAGTTGACAGGCCTGCACGTGAGGTGCTGTCTGAAGATTACAGATGTTGACTTCCTCCGGGAGGCACATATTACCAATGTGCAGGGTGCCACAGCCAGTCACAGAAACCCAGCAAGGTCCTCGGGACCTCTGAACGCTCTGCAGGCCAAGTGTCCCATCTCCTCAGTGTCACCACAGTGTTCCAGATTCTTAATACCGAGATGATTGGGGTAACTGCCTGCAAATTCTTTTTCTCTCCCTCTCAATTTACCCTACATGCTGATGCTATTATCTGAATTTTCTTTGCATATAGCAAGAACCAAGAAAATGTAAGTGAATGCAATGACAAAGAAATAAATTGGGGGGCGGGAGGGAGGGAATTCCTGAAGTTACATAATCACTATGGCCTTCATGAATATTTTTTTCACTGATGAATTATTTTTTTTAACTTATGCAGAAAAAAAATTATCCTACCAGAACCAAGAAGCCTTGATAAGGGAAGGGGTGGGAAGCAGTGGAGGTCATTTTGAGCTACATAAGATTCTCCCCTCACACCAAAAAAAGCTTATTTTTCTTAAAACTTAAACATTAAGGAACTTTAAGTGCGCGCGCGCGCGCGCGCACACACACACACACACACACACACACACACACACACACAATTTTCAAGATTTAATTTCAAAAATGGTATTTTGTGGTCTGCTCTTCATAGAAAGCTAGAAATAATATAGAAGTAGAAGTTTATTCAAGTTATAAAATGTCAAAGTTTCAATATATGCTGATTAAATTCTAAGCAGCCAGTTCAAATGCTAAAATGCCAAAAAATATGACACCAATGAAGTTCACCAATGATTTTATAGAATCACTCAAATCGTAAGCCATAATATCCCATAAGGTAAACATACATCAAAATTATGAATGTTTTACAATGCAATTTTCTTTGTTGAAATCATTTTGTGCACACAATTATTCTTTTGGAAAAAGCATGTTTATGTTTTCATTTATAACTTAGCAATTGTAGTTTGTGCAAAGTTTATCAATTTAAGAATTGTTTAATTCTTCCTGTAATGGCATTATCACATTATTTTTTATTTCTAATAAATACCCAAAGTTTATAGTTAGCTCTTAAATTCATTTAGAACAATCTCAATATGCTTTTAAAAAGTCTCCTGGGATCCAACTTCATTGGGATAATTTGGAAAAAGTTCAAAATGTAAAAACAAATCTTGTGAAATGGGAATAAAAATGAATTAGGCTCTTTAGGATTTTTCCTGTGGGAAATAACCTTAATTTTATGAAAAAAAAAAAAAATGCTGGTGCTACTTCAGGTAACAGTTTCAGAAAAAAAATTTAAAGAAGTCTGTAAGGTACAGTAAGTTGGACTATGCAATCAGCACGTGGTTCAGATCAGTGTGAACTCAGTAACCATCAAGGGAGTTTTTTAAATCTATGAATAGATTATGGTTTACATGTCAGTAAAAATTCAGAGCCTCAGAATCATCTTGACAGCTATGCAGCTTTTCACACAATCGTATTTTCTTTTTGACATTTTTAAATTAAATGTACTGGGGTGACATTGCTTAATAAAATTATGTAAGTTTTACGTGTACAATTCTGTGATACATCATCTGTATATTGCACTGTGTGTCCACCACCCAAGGTCAAATCTTCTTCCGTTACCATATATGCGATCCCTTTTACTATTCACTACCCTCCCCACCTCACTGCCCCCTGCTATCCACCATGCTGTTGTCTGTGTCTGTGACTTTTTGTTTTTCTTGTATGTTCATTCATTGCTTTCAGTTTTATATCCCACGTCTGAGTGAAACCATATGGTTCTTGATTTTTTTTTTTTGTCTGATTTATTTTGCTTAGCATAATATTCTCCAGGTCCATCCATGTTGTCACAAACGGCAGTGTTTCATCTTTCCTTATGGCTGAGCCGTATTCCTTTTACACAATTGCTTTTTAGTGATGAATTATCAGATGGCGTTAACTGCTAGTTTTTATTTTTCAAATGAGAAAGTATGCCCCCTGTCCCTGCAGGCTGTTACAGTTCAGCAGGCTCCCTTGCCAGGTCAGGGGGGACTTTCACTTTTATTGTGTGCTTCTCTACGTAACCTTTACTTCAACTTTTGTTCCTTGCCGAAGCTGAAAAATATAAAAGTTAAGGTAATTTCTTGTAACCTGGATTTTTATTATTGTTCATGATCCTTGTGCATTGCCTTTAACTCATAAACACCATGATTAAGGCGGGGGTAAGCAGAGGGGTTCTGTAAAGGGATGGACAGGAAATATGTTAGTCTTTGCAACATGTTGCATATGGTCCCTGCAACAACTCTCAATTCTGCAGGTATAATGCAAACACAGCTCTGAACGCTACATATACAGTGTGCATTGATGTTTCAATAAAACTTTACTTACAAAAACATGCAGCAGGAAGAACTAGACCATTGTTTGCTGACCCCTGACCTACGGGAATATCTTTGTGTGGAGGCAGGGAGAGAAGAGTTTCAAGGACTTAAGAATTATCAACCTCTCATGCCCTATAATTCAGTAAGTTTCAAAGGCTCCAAGGATAAGTATTACAACAAAATGAAGTGCTACAGAAACCCTATTTGCTTTCACTGGTTGCTTTTATAGTAAGTCAGAGTCGACAGAACAGTTCCTTTGCTCAACAGTCTTCTCCTGAGCCTGGTGGTGCAACCAACACTCTATTGGCAACGGGTGTGATACAGTGTATACTAAGCCTTGATCCCTACAACCTACACCTCTGGAAAGAGGAGGTATTTCAGGCTTTTATATCAAAACTTGGTTCCCAGATAATTTTCAGTTTGTCCCCACCACATCAGCCATTTGTTGGTGCTGCCACAGCCCACACTGTTCCTTCCTAGCTCGGTCCAGAAGGTGGACTGTGCTCTCATCCCAACCCTCCCACCCCTAGGACTTTAGAAGTCAGTGTTTGCTTTTGCTTGCTTTATTTTCACTTAAGAAACGGAGATTCAAGTATTATACTACTGTCCTGTGTCATACTTCTTTATTTTGAGGTTGGGGAAGGGCCGGGTTTCGATTCCTGAATCTTGCTGCCGTAACCAGCTGAGCAGCCATTTCATTTCCCCTGGGGAGGCAGCTGAGGTAGATGTAAGTGTATTTTAAAGATCCACTCTTTAGAACTCCTGCTTCTGGAGAACAGAGCACACAGGCTGAAAAGAAAGAGCAGTAGCAGCAATTTAAACGTTCTTACGAGGTGCCACTGCCACTGGCCTCTAAAAGTAACTATAAAGATATATTTTCAATGTCCATTCCTGATTCTGAACAGATTTCAAGCAAATATTTCTAATTAAAGGTATTAGCTGATTAAATCGTAAGAATTTGTTGAAGGACCACATTGAGGTTAACTAATTATGTTTTAAAATTTGAAGATGAGAATAATGATTTTATACACTGTGAATCTTTGGCTCTAAAATTCATAGTAATTCAGTAAACTATAGTTGAATTCTGAATTCCTTGGAAGATGTAGTAATTAACATTTTAAAACAATAGGATTTACTCCACTGAACTTTATGCAACCAGTACTTTTTGTAACTTTTAAACCATGATAGCTATGACAGTTTAGGCCACTCATTGTGACCAAATTTGTGTGCATCTTTCTAGGAAAATATTTATAATATTTTCTAGGTGAGATGCTATGTATTCACTTTATTCTTTGGTAATATGTTACATTTTTCAGAATTCTTCCTCATTGGTAGACTACCCTATGTCTAAATTATACACAATGCCCCTGTAAAACTACCATCAAAATAAAAGAATTAAGTTATCAGATTGCAACATTCCTTAGAAGACTTAGAATTTAGAACTTTTATGTATGAAATTGTGTGCCATAGACACTGACCTGTCAGATTAAGCTGGGACACAGCTCAATAGTTGTGCAGTTAAAATTGGCCTCAGTGTAGAAGCGTAGCAGTGTTCATGCCTCCTGACATGACTTAAGAGTCGAGCAATGACTGAGCAAATGAAAGAAAATTATTATCAGTCATAGATGCAGTTCTAGCATTATGCTGGAATGAAATGGTCCTGCCTTCTAAAGCTCAGGGTGCAGTTCCTACCGCAGCCTGGGATGGACGAGGAAGGGAATCCATTGGTGGGAGATCTCACCCTGGCCGCTCTGCCTTCCCCAGGATCTGCCACTGCGAAGGCGATGAAGAGAGCCCCCTCATCACACCCTGTCGCTGCACGGGCACCCTGCGCTTCGTCCACCAGTCCTGCCTCCACCAGTGGATCAAGAGCTCAGACACGCGCTGCTGTGAGCTCTGCAAGTATGACTTCATAATGGAGACCAAGCTCAAGCCCCTTCGGAAGGTATGGTATTTGTAGGAGGTGTTTTGGAGGCGAGAACTTGTAAAGCTGGCTTGTTTTAAAAATCCATTTGGTTCCCCAGCAAGGTTTTGCTGCTATGCTAATATCCATGAAGAGTACATGCCTCGTGTTGGAGTCAGTGTGCAAAATGCAGCCAAGTGTTTGCAGATAATGCTTCGTTCTCTGTTTTGTATTCCAGAGCCTCTGATTTTTACATCACTCTTCAAACTAAAAAAAAAAAAAAGTGTGTGAATGAATGTATATTTGTATATGTGCCTGTGTGGATATGTATATATATATGTGTGCATACACACACACACACACACACACACACACACACATATATATATACATATATATATATATATATATATATATATGCAAAATATTCTTGTAATTCAATGAATTAATGGGAACTAGGAGAACATTTTATTTACTGAGGTAAATTCCCAAGAAGGTCAGATAATAGATTACATTAAATAATATGAACCCATCAAATTTCTTGAAAGCCAGGCATTAGCTAATAGAAGAGAATGATTTTTTTTTCCTATATGGTGTGGACTCTTTTTTTTTTTTTTAATCTTTATTTGGGGATTTGGTGTGGAGGGTCACATATAATTAGAGTACGTAGAAAAAGTATTATTTTCCATAATGCTCATCAAACTCTAAAGCAGAGATAAGTATACTTTTACCTATAAATTTAATCCTCAAATTTTTCATTTATGTTATATTTTTCTAAAGAATAAATAATTATATGAATATATATAAAATCAGTATCTGACTCAAAACTAATGGAGGAAAACTTATAAAGGATACAAAGAAAATGAACTTCATGTAATTCATGCTTGATGGCTGGGCCCTTAGATTGTTGCATGGAACTTCTTCATCTTTTTCCCCAACTGCAGCCTGACATATATGGATGCCTCAATTTCCAAATGAGAGTATAGAGACTGCGATTTAAATAATGAATCTGCCTACAGCTGCTTTTCCATTTGAATGATATGCAATGAAAAAGAGTATAAAGAGAACATTGCTTGGAAATGAACATGATGGGTTTGGAGATGAGCAGAAATGGAAAGCAAACAAGAATTTTTCAATAGGCATCTGACTGGTGGCTGGCCAGCTCAAGTCTTCATTAAAAATCTGTAAATTATGGAGAGAGAGAATAGCATCCCCTGCTTTTGTGGGAGCCTTAATTTTAAAATTCTGCAAGTAGTTTAGAGATGTCAAAACTGATGCACAAAATGCCTCTGGGAAACACATTGTCTTTAACATCTAGGGTGACCTGAGTGCAAAAAGATGACCCTATGTTTCTCTGGTCCCAGAGCAATCAAATGACAGAAACAGAAGCGGGCCCTTACTCCTTGCCCTTTGCTTTATCTGTTGACCAGATGCTGTGTGTTGTCTGGAGAAACTACATGACACAGTGTGCTCCATGATTCTGTAAATTTCTCTCCTCACCCTCCAGGGAACTACAAATTATTTCATAGCATCTGTTTATTTCTCCATGTTTTTGTTTCTTAACCTAAATCTACATAAAATTTTCCTTTCAGCTTTGTCAATCATAACATTTCAATTTGAAAGTTACAATCTAGAGTAATGAAATATTTAATATTTACATTTTCTCTTCATACTATCTACCCTCTCCCCCATTTTATATAATATAACAATACATGATGCTATACATAACTTGAAAAGTATTCTTATTCTACCTTCAGCTTTTATAGAATCATTTCTATATACAACTCTGATCCTTTCTTAATATTTTATTGCCAATAATTTACAACCCTATCGAGAAATTCTATTTTTGCTTCAACTAACCTGTTTACAAACTAGAGAAATGAGGTGCATACATCTACTCTTCTTAATGAATATGAATATTCATTACATACTAAAGCAATAAATATATTCTTAGTAATGAATATGTTGTGGCAACCTACTGGGCACCTACTATCTGTTGATTAATGAAATATCCTAGTTTTCTTATAAATATTTCCTTTGAGTGGTCATAAATATTAATGAAGGACAGCATGTCAACATCCTTCATTTTTAATAGCATTTGTATATCTACAGAGGATGTTAGAATCTCATCCGGAGGTTGCTTCCTAACAGCCCACTGATGTGTTTTATTTGATCCACAGAGATTAAAATTTGAATTAATTACCAATATTTAAATAGGTGATTATATTATATAAAACTGTAAACTTTTGAAAATCACAGTATCTGGTCTTACTGGAACCATGTTTCCCTAGGACAATAGTCTGAAAGCTAGATGATGGCTATTTGCCTTTAAGTTCTTCACATTTCTCAGCCCTTTCTCTTTTTCCAATCATGAGACTCAAGGCTGCCTCCACTCTTCTGAGTGCTCTGTGGCTCCAGTGAAGGTATTTGAATTTTTTTTTTTTTTGCATTTTAATTTCTTTACTGATTAAGGCATTACATATTTGTCCTCATCCTCCCATTACCTTCCCAACCCACCCCCACTCATGCCCTCACCCCCCTGGAGTCTGTGTCCACTGGTTTGGCTTATATGCATGCATACAAGTCCTTTGGTTGATCTCTCCCACTTATCCCCACCTTCCCCTATTTTCCCTCTGAGGTTTGACAGTCTAATTGATGCTTCCCTGTCTCTGGATCTGTTTTTGTTCATCAGTTTATAATGCTCTTTATATTTCCACAAATGAGTGAGATCATGTGGTGTTTTTCTTTCATTGACTGGCTTATTTCACTTAGCATAATGCTCTCCAGTTCCATCTATGTTGCTGCAAATGGTTAGAATTCCTTCTTTTTTAGTGTAGTATAGTATTCCATTGTGTAGATATACCACAGACTTTTAATCCACTCATCTGCTGATGGGTACTTAGGATGTTTCCTGATCTTAGCTATGGTAAATTGTGCTGCTATGAACATAGAGGTGCATATATCCTTTCTGATTGATGTTTCTAGCTTCTTGGGATATATTCCTAGAAGTGGTATTACTGGGTCAAATGAGGTATTTGAATTTTCATCTCCTGATCTAATACATGACTCCTAGACATACATTCTCTTCCTACCTCTGTGGTTTATGAGTTAAAAGCCTAGAAACATATTTCAAACTTCCACTTTCTTCCTTAAACTTGTGGGATACTGGGATAATACTTAAATGGCAGTATCCAAAATGACTTTCAGATTCTGAGGTGATACAACCTACATAGATTTGAGGTATTTTAATACTTTTCTAAATGGTTTTGGTTTGATTCTCGTCAAGGACATATCCTTGGGCTGGGGACTTGATCCCCAGGTTGGGGGGACGGGGGGAGTCATGCAAGAGGCAGCCAATCAATGATTCTCATTCACCATTGATGTTTCTATCTTTCTCTCCATCTCCCTTTCTCTCTGAAATCAATAAAAATATTTTTTAAATAAAAATGACAGACATAATAATCCATGGAAACAGACAATGGGGTGATGAGGGCCTGGGGTTGGGGGTCGGGAGCAGGCTGGAAGGTGTTAATGGGTGGGGGTAGGAGGATCTATTGTACTTTCAACAATAAATTTTTTTTTAATATGACAGGTATAACATTTGATTAGAATATATTTGAAATACATAAAATAAATTGCTATCAATTCAATTCAGTAATTCTATTATAGCTTATAACGTTTAAAGACCAGTCATATGAAACAATTACTTTAGCTAATGATTCTGAATTTCTAACATTAGCCAATGGAAGTGGGATATTCTGTTAAGATGAAATAGCTTCTTAAAAATAGAAAGGCACAAAGCTTCATAATCTGATGAACATTGTTGCTTAATAGTCTCTAAAGATATCAGCAAAACCTTACTTTATTAATTGCTAATAATACTACATGGAAAGCCATAGTTAGTAAATTCCTCAAGGTATGCTAATGTTTCCAGAAGAAAACCTTTAAAGTCTAAATAAAATCAAGAGCTTATTTGAGAAAAAAGCAATTTTTATCATCTTTAAGTCAGTAACATAGTTACTTATATAACATTTAAGAAATGTCCCATTGCTTTAGCTGGTTTTGCTCAATGGATAGAGCATCAGCCTGTGGACCGAATGGTGCCTGTTTGATTCCAATCAAGGGCAGATGCCCAGGTTGCAGGCTCGATCCATATTAAGGGATGTACAGGAGGCAGCCAATCAATGATTCTTTCTCATCATTGATGTTTCTATTTCTCCCTCTCCCTTTCTCTCTGAAATTAATATAAAGTTATATATTTTTAAAGGAAAAAGAAAGAAAGAAAGAAAGAAAGAAAGAAAGAAAGAAAGAAAGAAAGAAAGAAAGAAAGAAAGAAAGAAAATTCCCATTAATCTTGAGTTACCTGCATCAGAAATAATTCCTGGGGCCAAGAAAAAAAAGCCAAAAATATAGCGAGTAAAATGACAACTCAGTGAAATTTAAAAATGGACACAATATTAGTTAGGAAGCATAAACTGATACCCTGTTTTGAAGTTAAAGAACTGCATAGGTTTGAATCACTCCTGAGTGGGAGAAACCAGCTGCTAGATTTATAGCTAAGCTTGAAGATAGCAAATGCTACTGACAATTTATGTCCTCCCCTAAAATGTTTCTTTACATAGCTTTCCTATACAATTATTTGACAAAGTATACCACAAATATTCAACTCAATGTATCCATTTATTCCTTGTCTTGTTTCTAAAATGAGACAGTGACTCAATTAGTTACCTTTGCTTTCGTAACAATTAGGTTAAGCCATATGCACTTGTCATTTTTGCAGATCAAAAATAATTGGATATTGGAAAGCTCATAATAGATAAGTTCTGTGTGAACTTATTGTGCCAAATAAAAAGGAATAATCATTTTGCTATTTCTACATTTCCACCATAATGACTTATGGTGATTTGGTTATATCATCTTTTTTATTTAAATAAAGAACTGTATATGGCAAATACTATGTTAATTCCTTCCTTTCCTAATTTGATGTAGCATCCCATCTTTTAAAAGATCCAAGAGCCTATATAAACTGCCCTAGTGAGTCA